TTCCTCCCATCTACGCATTTGGGCAGATTTTGGGATCTCTTACAAGGATGAAACACTATTCTACAACTATTTCCCTTTTTAAGCAAATGGAGCTCAATGGAATTAAGAGTCATCTTGTCATTCTCAACATCGTCATCAATTGTTTCTGCCACTTAGGCCAGATGCCCTTCTCTTTCTCTATTCTTGCCAAGATTCTCAAACGAGGTTATCATCCAAATGTCATAACCTTAAGTACCCTCATGAAAGGTCTCTGTCTCAATGGTGAGGTCAAGAAAGCACTTACCTTTCGTGACAAGGTAGTAGCACAAGGATTTCTACTGAACGAGTTTAGTTACGGGACTTTGATCAATGGTTTGTGCAAGATAGGAGAAACAAAAACTGCCATCAAGTTGCTCAGAATAATAGAAGGCGGATTATGTAAGTCTAATGTGGTAATATACGCCACTATAATTGACTCTCTATTCAAAGATAATCTTGCAAAAGAGGCTTATCATTTGCTTATTAAAATGATGTCAAATAACATCATGCCTGATGTTTATATCTATAATATAATGATTGATGCTTTATGTAAGGAAGGAAAGATAAAAGAAGCTAAGAATGCGCTAGGTGTGATGGTAAAAGCTTGTGTCAAACCTGATATTGTTACCTTTACCACTTTGATGGATGGGTATTTTTTAGTTAGCGAGGTGCAAAGTGCTAAACACATATTTAATGCTATGACCCAAATTGGAGTAACTGCTAACGTTAGAAGCTACAATATCATGATTAATGGATTATGTAAGAGTAAAACAGTGGATGAAGCCATGAATCTCTTTCAGGAAATGCATAAGAGGAACATGGTTCCTAATACAGTGACTTACAATACTCTTATAGATGCTTTACGCAAATCTGGGAGAATAGCTGATGTTTGGGATCTTATTGATGAGATGCATGATAGAAATCAACAACTGGATATAATCACTTACAATTGCTTGATACATGCTTTATGCCAAAACTATCATATAGACAAGGCATTTGAATTATTCAAGACAATGATGGAAAAGGGAATTCAGCCGAATATGTACACCTGGAACATACTTATTGATGGAATGTGCAGAGGGGGAAGACTTGAGAAGGCACAAGAGACTTTCCAAGATCTTTTAATTAAAGGTTATCCTTTAAACGTACATAGTTATACTATTATGATCAATGGTCTTTGTAAAAAGGGTTTACTTGATGAGGCATTGACCTTATGGTCCAAAATGGAAGACAATGGTTGCTTACCTAATGCAGTAACTTTTGAAATAATGATTACGGCTCTTTTTGGAAAGGATGAGAGTGATAAGGCAGAGGCATTTCTTCATGAAATGATATTTAGAGGCTTGTTGACACGATAAAAGGTGAAATCTCATTTCTATATTTAGTTACATTAATGTCTGCTACATAATGTTCTTGAGTGGTTTGTATATGTTGTGTGTGTGTTTGATCGGAGAACTGTAACCTTTCTGCAAATGATTCTTGTCTTGTTAAGAATTGGATGTGAAGATCTTTCTGTGTATTTTTTTTTTTTTGTTTTTTTGCATTGCATTGTCTGTCAAGACCAAAACCCTGACCTCCCTCCATAAATTCTTATGGCTTTTATTTTTTTCCAAGTTCATTTAACTTTCTAGAGGTTCTCTACCACTTATCATAATTGAGGAAGTGTACTATCATACTATATTACCTTATTGATATTGATATTAGTCATTACAAGTTTCAAATTATGTAAGTAAGGTTCAATACATTGAAAAGAGGCCCACCGGTAAATCAATGTAATAGAAATTTTGGATTTTTTGTTATCAAGTGGTAGCATATGCCATGACTCTTTCTGGTTTTTTCTGCAGCATTCTGTTTTAAAACATACGGAGGACACACTGAGGCTTAAAAGACCTCAGAAAACAACAATTCCTTGGAGACATAACTAAATTAATGGTATTAAAAACACAACTTTGAGTGGTCTAAATACGTGTTCATGGTTTCCAGAGGACAGTGGTCTCTACAATCATGAAGGTGACAACATAAGGTTGTTTTTAGTTTAGTTTAGATATGTTTCTTATTTTCTCTTCTTTGTTGTTTTCAGTTTACTGAGAACAATGCTTAATTCAAGTGTGGGAGAAGGGTAAATTTTTATTTTCTGTTTACTGTTTTGCTTTACTACTTTTAAATTCTCTTTAGCTGGTCTTAACATTTTTACTTTTGTTGTTTTTCATTCATTTGTTAATTTAAAAGCTTAAGAATCTAATTGCATTTTAGATTTGATATGACTCTGAACACTGTTTTGATGATTCTTTTTTACTACTTTCTTTCATATTTTCTTTTTCAGTTTGTAGTTACTATGTTGCTTTTTTGATTTTGTGGTTTTAATTCTGAATATTAGTAGCTTATTTTAATTGTTTTAGTTTATTGTTTGACTTTTTTAGACCAATAGCTGTAGCTGAAATAGTAGAGTTCTCGATGGTTTTGTTTTAAGTTTTCGATAAGCTTTTGATCTAGTGAACATTTAATCCAATAATAATTATCTAATTTATCTATCTATTTTCTCTATCAGTATATATAATTTCTCTCGACTATCAATTTTAGGTTAATTTAGAAGTAACTTTATATCATAATATAAATTATCAATTACGAATATAAAATATAATATATATTCTTAAAAATGTCTTTTTATATATTTTAATTATAATATAGTTCATACACTAAAACTATTTATTTTAAATATATAAAAATATGTATGAACCCTAGACAATGCACAAAATTTTAAAAAATAGTATATGAAGGATTGAGAGAAGCCATGAGCAACAAACAGAAAATTCACTTACACTGTCACTCTCAGCCTCCTTCACCTGAACATGACAATGTTCACAACTCGGTCTCCCAATTTCGTAGCATGTTTCATATGCGTCCTCTTCCTTCCATCTACCAATTTGGACAGATTTTGGGATCTCTTACAAGGATGAAACACTATTCTACAACTATTTCCCTTTTTAAGCAAATGGAGCTCAAGGGAATTCAGAGTAATCTTGTCATTCTTAACATCGTCATCTATTGTTTCTGGTACTTAGGCCAAATGTCCTTCTCTTTCTCTATTCTTGCCAGGATTCTCAAACTTGGTTATTATCCAAATGTCATAACCTTAAGTACCCTTATGAAAGGTATCTGTCTTAAGGATGAAGTCAAGCAAGCCCTCAACTTTCATGCAAGGTGATGGCACAAGGATTTCGACTTGACGGGGTTAGTTACGGGGTTTTGATCAATGACTTGTGCAAGGTAGGAGAAACCGAAACTGCCAGTTGTTCAGAATAATAGAAGGCGGATTATGTAAATCTAATATGGTAATGTATGCCACTATAATGGACTCTGTGTTCAAAGATTATCTTGCAAAAGAGGCTTATGATTTGATAAATAAAATGATATCAAATAACATCATGCTTGATGTTTATATCTATAATATAATGATCGATCCTTTATGTAAGGAAGGAAAGATAAAAGAAGCTAAGAATTTGCTAGGTGTGATGGTGAAAGCTTGTGTGAAACCTTGTAGTGTTACACTTACATTTTAATGGATTGGTATTCCTTAATTAACGAGGTGAAAAGTGTTAAACACATATTTAATGCCATGACCCAAATTGGAGTAACTCCTAATGTTTACAGTTACACTATAATGATTAATGGATTATGTAAGAGTAAAAGAGTGGATGAGGCCATGAATCTCTTTCAGGAAATGCATAAGAGGAACATGATTCCTAGTACAGTGACTTACAATTGAAAGTTTCTTAATGCTATGACTTATCACTTTATTAAGTTATGAGGTGCCTCCAATTGATAGTTTCTTTAGAAAACTGCAATTAAATTAACAAGCAGTAAACGGTGGCATTTTAAAAATACAGTTCTTTGTGGGATTATAATCTGCATAAGAACATTCTGAACACAAATGGAATTCATATGCAACTATATCAAAATTAGAAAATTAGTATCATAGAAATTTGTTTTTGATTTGTATGTGATAACTTCTCCCTTTTTTATTTCTTGCTTCCGACTTCTTTCCTTTTTTGCTTTTCAATTTCTGAAAGTTTTAGGTGATCTGCAGTGAAACTATAACAGTCGCCTGATACACATTGGGGGACTGGGACTTCATCATAAGCGTGAAGTTGTGTTCTATGTCACTGTCCCATATATATTCTAGATATATTTTTTTTTATGCTTCTTGTATCTATGGTTTACATCTATTATGATTACCTATACGTTGCTGTCTTATATAACTGATAGTGTTTTATCACTTCAATTCACATGATGTGAATAAACATTGTCAAATCGGTTGCAGAGGCTTAAAACCTGTCACAATATTCATTCACTAAATTCTTGGAATGCAGATAAGTACATTTAATCATTTCCTGCACATATGAACAAAATAAAATTGTGTAACATAACAAACCGTTCATTTATGCATACATTTTGGCCTATCATGTTCCACAGATAAACTTCAAATTTTATTACCAAACTTTGTTATGTCATTCTATTGAGCTTTTTGACACAAGTTATCCATTCATTCCATGTCCAGGATCCATTAGTGGGTAAAAAAGAAAAAATATTTTTTTAATTCAATATACAATTTTAATCTTGTTTAATTCTTTTATGTACCATGCCCAATTTATCTATGTAGCTCAAAGGCTAATGACGTTTTGATAAGAACTTTCTAATTGGTCTAATTTTTTTTACCACACTAAATTTGTTAGAATAAAATAACTAATGTAATATAAGAATATAAGTCTAAAGTGTGAACTTAAGAATCAATTCTGTTATTAGTGGTGAAGTCATTGTCAAACATACAGAGGACACAGGGAGGCTTAAAAGACCTCAAAAACCAACAATTCCTTGGAGACAACTAAATTGTGGATCAAATGGTATTGAAAACACAACTTTGAGTGGTCTAAACACGAGTTCATGGTTTCCAGAGGATGGTGGTCTCTGCAATCATGGAGGTGACAACATAAGGATCCATGTTAGAAGCAGGCCTTCTGTCCTCAAAGTAACCTTTCCCTTGTTTCTCAGTGTCTCTTCCAACTCTAACTGAGCTTCCACGGTTTGCCACACCCTTCAGACAAAAATGTCACACCGTTAATTGCTAATCTCATAAAACATCATAAGATACCAAAGGATGATGACTTACCCAAGAGAAGGTGTTGATGTCAGCAGTTTCATGTCTTCCAGTTAGACGTCTCTCATTACCTTTTCCATATGCTGCAATGTGCTCTTTGTGTCTCAATCCAAGCTTTTCAATGGCTTTCTTAATCACCTCATAACCACCCTCTTCTCTCATGGACTTGGTGCTGTACTCACCATTCATTACATCTCTCAGAAAATCATACATTTCAAACAATAATAACTCAAATATATAACATGTTTATAAGTTTTTGGTGTTGCTCTTCTACGATAACTTTAAAAATATACTGATTTTGATATATTAATATATTTTGAAGATACAGCAGAAAAATAACACAAAAAACTTTGTAAAAAATCAAGATTCATATATTACCTGTAGTTTGTATGTGCCCCAGCTCCATTCCAATCTCCCTAATACCACAACCATGAAATAAAGTCAAAATATTGAAATAAATCAATGATACAATTAAGGTGAATTATTCTTTTATTATATGATTCAATCTTTCTACCAAGTTATCAACAATTTTACAAGAAAATATCTAACCGGAATAGGCTTGGGATCAAATGAAACAACAGCTCCTGCCAACTCTGTAATCCTATGTAGCATAACAACATTTAATCAATGTTTTCAATGATTTTCATCAATCATGTTCATCATATATGATATTTAATAATAAAAAATTAGTGAAACTTTGTATTACCTCCAAAATGTAGCGAGCAGCCCAGACTTCATCTCCAGCAGAGATTCCAACAGAAGGACCAACTTGGAATTCCCACTAAAAAATAAGCATAAAATTAATAAATATTTTTAATTTTCAATAAAAGCCAATTACATTGTAGTAATAAATAGAAGGCTCATTAGTTTTCCAAAGAAGATAAGTTTGTTCATTAAATCACACCATGGAAATGCTATGATAACACTATTATCAGTCACTACAATTTCAGCATTTAAATTTCTGATTGTACCTGGCCTGGCATAACCTCTCCATTGATGCCACTAATGTTAATTCCTGCATAAACACAAGCTTTGTAATGTGCATCTACAATATCACGACCATAAGCTTTATCAGCACCAACTCCACAGTAGTATGGTCCCTGTTCAAGTTAAACATTGATTGAGTTAGCATTATGAAGAAAAGAGAAGAGAAATGGATAGATTAATTCAAACAATAATTGATTATTTTCATTAACATTAATTTTACCCAGTTGTTCATGCACAGCAATTGAGAAAATTTTCGCATATTTTGACAAAGAACCAATTCACATAGTTTGACTTTGATTTATAACAGCAAATGCAGTGATCATAAACAACTTGAAGAGCAAATTTGACAAAAAAAAAGAAAAAAAATTAAGTGAATATGAATAAGGAAAGAAAATAAAAATAGGATTTTCGTTTTTAAGAATAAAAGTTTTATGACTTTTGTCTTTATTCAAAGTAATGATCTTTGACATTTTGTGTGACAAGAAAAACCAACCAAAAATATCTAATGCAAACAATAAGACAAAGGCGTGTATGAAATCAATCATTGAGTTTCAATTATTACAATATATAGTACAACCAAATTTGTGAAAGTTACACAAAACAATGGTAACATAAAAAACACTGCTTGAAAATGAAANATTGTATTCTAACAACAATAGAAGCTCAAGCAAGTCAAAATACATTAACATCAAGTTCCTGATTGTTAAAGAAATGGTATAAAATAAACATATTTTCATATAACACTTAGGGACAAACTTTATGATAATAGATCATCTTACTAAGGGATTTCCACCTAAGATCTTTCATGAACATGTTGCTTATATGATTGTTTTGTTGTTTGAGGAATCTTTAGTTTTGTGGAAGTTAATCCTTCTTATGTGTTTTGTGTTCTATGTTTGATTTTATGCATACATTGTCTTTTGAACATATTTAGTTTTATATACATAGATTTTATTCAGATATTACATTTTGTACATTAAGGTTATTATATTGATCTCATTGAGACAAATGAATCATTGAAAATAGATGTGTATAGATCACCTTCACGTAACTTTCATACAAAACATTTTATGATGAGTCCATGTCATTTGATTTTCTCTGTATTTGTGATAATTTTCAACATTAGTGATAATGATCAGGTTTAGTTGCAATTAGTGA